AATGAAGGCTTCGTCTGGGACGGCTTTCTTACTACTTCCTAAAGCAATTTTATAGTATAAAAATTTAATTTTTTTAACTAAAAAATTGTTTTAAGAAGCAGTAAGAAAGCCGTCCCAAATAAAGCCGAAGCCTAAATATCTTTCTGCTTTCATCACTCGGATAAAGTTAGAAGGACTACTTATATAGTTATATATGCTAATACACATCTGAACGTTAATTGCAATAGGCTTCCATCTGTTGATCATACAAAGCTCCAAAATAATATGAAATGTCAATGGCGCATAAGTTGGTTCGCCAATTTTGTATTAAATTTATGGCTGACTTGTGCATGCAAGCTGACATATGAATTGATAATATGATGAACTGATCTTCATCTTTCATGAATTTCTGATTTATAATTCTTATTTAATGTTATATTAAACGCCATATGGCAAATTTAGTTGCAACAAAAATTAAAGACAAAAAAATATATATATATAAAGACGACTCAAATGGCTCTAATAAGACTAAAAAAGTTTGATGTGCTTCATCAAAGGATATTTGGATCCATTCTATGTGTGTTTTTCTCTCTCCCTCTCTAAATATATATGTCCTAAGATAATTTGCATTAGATTAGACTTAAACGCCCTTGAGTTCGGCCGAATTATACCAATTTTGGCGCAAACTCAAGGGTGTTCAAGCCTAAAGTGATTTAAGTTTCGTATGTGACGGCTTTCTCACTGTTTCTTAAACCAGTTTTCTAATACACGAATTAATCCTAAATTTTTGTACTAAAAAAGCTGCTTTAAGAAGAACTAAAAAGGCCGTCCCAAACGAATCCTTTTTTTTGGAGGTATTTGTAATTGTATATATAACAACTCTTTTGTATTTTTAGTAATCTATCAGATTGATAGATTGGTTTCCTAAAAATATGTTTGTACTAATTTTTTTTTTTAAACAACGAAAAAGTAGTGGCCAAATGGATTTGTGACGAGGGACTGAAAGTAAAGATGAGAAAGCTACCCCTTATCTGATTTGAATTCATATATATTGGTTGAAATTAATTAACTCTTGTATTGAATTGATTTTATTTGAATTGGCTCCGCACGCATAAGTCAAATTTTGAGTCGGCATGACTTTGGATTGAGCTAGCTCAAAATTAGTTGTTTTTTTTTATATTAAAAAAAAATTTATGTATATAATGCGGATTTAATATTGATGTATTTGTATATATATTGAGTCAACTTGATTTGATCCAAATTTGACTTAAATTAGATGGAAGATTGAACTAAGCAAAAATTTTGACTTATCGTTCATTGGTTTAAACTTCATGCAATTTTCGCTAGATTTTCGTTCTTCAAGCGAGCGAAAATCTCAAATCCTAATGAGCATTATGTTATATGATTGATCCATCTTATAAAATATGAAGTGATGATTTAAAATGTTATTTTTAGTGATTGAAAACAAAAATAACCTTAGGCTTACCTCCTATGATGAACTAGCTATTCTTATTACTAAATATTTGATGGGTTCAATATTCTTTGTGAAAACAATCAATAACCTATTACAGATATGAATCAAGAATATGATAATAGGAAGAACGAAAATATTAGGCTTCAAATATTATTTTAAAGATTTAGAATTTCATTAGACCTAATGATTATCTTGGACACAAAAATATTCGCCCTAGCTGCCCCTCTCCCTTGCTGGAGCTTCTTTGTTTTCTCAGGGAAGTTTCTACTTCTTTTTCTTTCTGCTTTTTTGCCCTCCCGTGGATGTGCACTCTCCCTGCTTGGTTTTTCTCCTCCGACTCCGACTTTGTTGAATGGCAGTTAATCGGGTTAGTTCGAGCGATCCTAGTTTTCTTTGTGGTAAAAATGGTTCTAGGTCGTTTATTGAAGCCTTGGTTGTGCCTCTCCAGTGGCCTTCTTGCCTCTTAAATTTCGACCTATCGTGGTATATTGTTACTGTGGATTTCCAAGGAGAAAATTTTGGCTCTTGTTGCATCTTTTGAATTTTCGTTGGTTGACAAATTTCTCAATAACAGGCCAGCTTTTGAATTGATTAGGAAGTTTTTATTTAATCTTAAGCTTGCTAGTGAATTCTCTGTGACTCTCTTGGATGTGACGCATGTTCTTGTTAAACTAGCGAATAATTTGGATTACTGTACGATTTCTATGCATTGTTCTTATTTTGTCAATAATTACTTTATGAATTTGGTTAATTTGTCTCCTTACTTTTATATAATGATTGAATCTCTTATTATACCTATTTGGGTCTTCTTTCCTAATTTGCATCCCCACCTATTTTCTCCTCTCATTTTACATGACTTGGGTTCATTATTTGGTCACCCTTTGTAAACTGACAATGTCACTTCTGTTGGCTCTCACCTTCGGTTGCAGGGGTTTTAATTGAGCCAGATATCACTAAATGTTATCCCAATTTTTTTTGGATTAGTTTGAATAGCTTGGGGTATGTTCAATCTGTTGTGATGGAGGACTTCCCTTCTTTTTGCGATCATTATAAAGTTTTGGATCATGATAAAAAAGAATTTTGTATCATGAATCCTCAATTAGGTATGTCAAAACCAGTTCCCACTGCAATTAATGATAGTATTTGCAAGGAAACCTTACATGTTGCCCATTTGTCATTGTTTCCGCTGACCTCATTTATGGTAACATTTCAGATATTGGATGTGACAAGGCTGTTGCTACCAATAAGGATTTAGTGGCTCATGGTGACAAGTCTAATGTGAATTCTATTGTTGTTGGGAAAAAGTGTTGATAATCTTGACATTATGACCGCAAATAATATGTTAACAAATGTTGGTAGTGTGACTGATTTATAAAATGCTAATAATTATGTGGTTGATGAAGGTATTACCAATACTATGGAAGTTTTACCTCATTCTCTTACTTCAAATTACTTAAGTAATTATCTGGCTTCCTCTCCTATTTTGAGTTTGGATGTGGTCGCTGGTGCTTGTTGTCTAATCATGGGTCTCCTTACATTGTCCCCTTTGTTGATGCTACTGATGGTATAGATGTTTCCAATTCTAAATATTTTTTTAATATGAACTCTATTGTGAATCATCTTGATCACTCTGACTGGTTATCCCCTACAATTCGTCGATTATTAAAGATTTTGACGAAGCTAATGAGGATGTTAGTAATGGTTATCATAAGGATTATAATAAGAATGTAGAGCAAATTAGCAATAATGATTTTGCTGAAGTTGTTGGCAAGAAAAATAGAAAGAAATAAAATAAAAGTGTGGTGCAAGATTTTTAGCTTGTTGAAGGAAAACCTAAGAGATCTAAAACTCCTCCTAAATTATGTTGCTAATGGTGGCTTGTTTTCTGCGTTTGACTCGTTGTGTTTGCTTTGCTCTCATGAAGTGTTGGTTGAGGCTTGAGAGGTTTGCTGCTTGTTGTCTTTCGGGTTGGCTATTTGGGCTTGATCTTTTGACTGGTTGTTGTTGATGACGCTCTCCAGTCCATGGGCTTTTGCTTCTGCTTCGTTGCTTTCCTGGATCGTCGTGGTAGTTTCCTTAACTTTTTTTTAGTTGTCCCTCTCTTGGGTGGCTTTCTTGGTGAATTAGACTTCTTTTGTTGCATCTATTTCCTTTTAATGGTTTCTTATAATAAATTGAATTAATGACTCATAGAATTTGCTTTAAAATGTTGTATTTTTTAAGGGTTGTTGATTTTTTAATAACTAATAATATGTGAATTTTATCAAAAAAATAATAATAATAATAAAACATTTAAGTCAAATCGAACTCAACAAGATTCATATTAGAACCATTACGGAATCAAGAGAGATGTTTTGTGTGACAACATTTAAACCAAAAGTACAGATTAGATCATTGTTACACTTGATTAGCTATCTCTTATTTATAGGTGAATCTTAAAGTCAATGATACGTGGTAGGCTGTTAAAAAAAGTCAATGATACGTGGTAGGTTAATTAATTTATCTTAATTATTTAATCTTAAATATTAAGATTAAATATGATTATTTCTATTCAATCAAATTAAATAATAAATCATATTAATTAGTTTACATTACTATTTTTAGTTCATTAATGATAATTATTAAAATTAATTTCGAGTTATAATTAATAAATTTTATTTTATCATTACCAATTAATATTAATATTTTTTAAAAATTATGGATATTAATTAATGCAAAATGATAAATTGAGTTAAACATGAAAACCTCCCTTTTTCCCCACAAAATCCCTTCCCCAAAATTCAAAAATCCTAAATGATGAAGAAGTTACAACTAATTTTTGTTGAATTCTTCCTATTTTCTAAAACAATTTTTTCAATACAAATTTTATTTTTTAAAAAGAATTTTTATACTCGAAATTCATTAAAAAAAATTTGCTGCATTCTAATTCGTTTGAGACAATTTTCTTATTCCTTTTTAAAACAACTTTCTAGCACACAAATTTTTAATTCAATAAATTTTAATATTAAAAAGCTGTTTTAAAAAGCATAAAAAAGCCATCACAAACGAAGCTTAAATCCTACTAAACAGCCCCTTAATCACGAACTTTTATTTGGTCCGGTGAAAGGACGTACAGCTACGTTTGGCCGGCAATGAGATCGCGCCACGTAGCAGGCACAAAACCACGTATTTGTTGATTTTGCTCGGCAATAACGAGAAATACCATTATGTGAAGACAAATACCGAATAATACCGAGCAATACCTAGTTTTTTCCAGAAAAACTCGTTATTACTCGGTATTGCTCGGTATTTACTCGGTATTGATCTTCACAGAGCGGTATTTCTCGTTATTGCCAAGTAATACCGAGCAAATACTGGGTAAATCAGTGGTGACCGTACGTAGCTCTACGTCCGGTCACCGGACCTAATAATTGTTCCTTAATCACCCTAAATCTTAGAAGCACAACTCATAGCCTCTTCATAACATTCCAAGGGCTCAATCAAAAAGTACCTCAAGACAAATCAAATTCAACTGAAATAAAAAATCAATTACATCTAAACCGTACAATAATTCAACAAAAATCTCATAAATGAATCAAATTACCCCAAGTTACAGAGCCAACTACTCCAACAACCTATTCATTAATTATGATCTTAAATACCCTTCTAATCACACAAACACAACATAAACCTTAGAAGCCTGCAAAGTAAATTCAATGTGAGATCTTATCACAAAAGAACAAATGGAAGCAAAACAGAAATGTACTCAAATTGCCTATAAACAACATGCTTTTGCCATTCATTTTCTATGAAGCTAATAATGTACATATCAGGCCATCAACCTGATCTACTACATCTGAGGAAACAAGAAATATCATTCAAACCTTCCAGAATATAAATTTCTAACCAGAGAAATGAAATGATTTCATGTTAGAAAGAGAGAGAGAGAGAGAATCACACCATTTCCAAAATTTTGATGTTGCCACTCGAATTCGCCGCAACCAGAGTCGAAGATTGGTCTCGCCAGCACACGCAGGAGATGAACTGGTTCGCATTGCAGTCTTCAAGGCCAGAAATTGGATCAATGCAGCCAAAATTGTAAGACATAACAGGCATGGGGAAAGCTTTTTGATATACAAAAACCTGACCAGGAAGCAGATGAAGAAACATGAGAACATGGATTTGTGGTGGAATAAGAGTGCAAAATATAATCAATTAGAATCGAGGATATAATATGTTTTGTTTGAAGGAAAATGGACATAGATACTTTCAAATAATTTCCATAACTTCACAAACATGTCAGCTGTCATATAATAAGTTGTGTTTGTAGGTAAGGATGGGCCTATTCGTTTGTCCTGAGCGTGTGAAGTGACAGATTTCACTAGGGGTGACAAAAATTGACACGACCTGAAGCCCGCGGGTCGACCCGAATTGACCCGGACGTCACATCAATCGTCACGTCCCGAGTTGCCGCTGTCAGTCTGCCGGCCATTGCCCGCCCGCGCCATCCTGCTTGCTATGCCGGCCTGCAGTCATCCCACATTGCTATAGATCCAAAGATGCCCGTGAGCTGCCGGCTTTCCGCCGTCCCGCCTGAGAGCTGAATGCCGCCGTCCCTCCCTCGCGGGTTGGGTCGGGTCAACCCAGTAACCCGCACGGGTCGAGTTCGAGTTGCAATCCTGACCCATTTGCAAAACCAGGTCGGGTTAGTGTCGACCCGTTTAAGGTCGGGTCAAGTCGGGTTTGACCCGAATTGACACCCCTAAATTTCACTTCAGAAAGTGGAAGTTGAGGAAATCTCTTCTGAAATGACTGATGGGTTGTCTAGCAGAAAATGAATTTTTTTTTTTTAATAAAGATGTAAATACACTTTCATACCCTTACAGAAAAAATCGTGTATATATATATATATATCAGAAAAAAGTTCCTAACTGATAAACAATTAACAGATATTTTCTTGAATGGTTCCATACCTACTGATGTGAGAATATTGCAAAACAAATTGCTAGAAAATGTCCAATCTATGAAATATCAAACAACAAAAGAGACAATTTGGTTCGGTTTTTATGCCGCTAAGCATATTAATATAATTTTAAGTAAACAAGTTTACATATACAGACTCCACAAAGAAATATCTTCAATATCTTAAAGCATTAATATAAAGTATATCTCCTTACCTCATTTGTTTCAGAACCTGTAGCAATATAGCCATCAGAAATGGAGAGACCGACAAAATTCTGAAAAAAGTTAAAACTTATTAGAAGAGAAGTTTAAAGAGACTGGCACAAGAGTTATCATAATGACCACAATGAAGGAAACAGCATTTCATGTCTAAAAACACTGTCATTGTCAGTTTTTAAGTCCTGAATGAGAAAAGTAAAATGTTGTGTTAGATAGTCGACAACTGGCGTAAAACTAGTCGAACAATTATAACATAAATCTTTTAATATGTTGTGTCAATATTAAGATGAAAACAAAATTCAAATTAGGTAATCTAAAGGATAAATTAATTTAAATTAATTCATGAGTTTGTTGCAAATTATATTATTTGAAACAAGTTTGATTAAACTCCTATAAATAATATACTTAAATGAAGAGCTAAGTATGGGCTTTGAGTGCATCAGAGTAAGTTGTGAGAGCATTGGGTGGTGTGTGCTATACAAACACTGAATGGGGTTGTGCATAGGGAGAACTTCGGGTTACAAGGGAAACTTTGTATCTTTTGTGCTGTTTGATCTCTTTATTTGTTATTGTTTTTTGTGTTCTTCATATTTGCACATCAACGTCACAAATGCTATCATATATATTGTGGGAAAAAATGTATCAGAATAATTGAATCAAATTTCAATGAGACTTCACCCATTTCTTTTTATCTTAAAAAAAATTTCTTCTATTCACAAAACTATAATCAAATTTTTGCAAGGCAAAAGCTATTTTTCTTGCAATATAGGGAAAACTGTCTCAAAAATCAGAAGTATGTAAGCATATCATCAATCAACCCTGGCATATATCTTCAGCAATTAGCTACCTTGTTGTTTGGTACTGAGCTCCATCCAACTCCAGAAGTAGACTGTGTTTCTAATAAGAAATTGGTTGTGGAATCTGTTAGATCGGTCCAACCGGTCCGACGGGACCGACTAGTGCACGAAAGGGCAGAGGAGTTCCGCATCCTGTACAAGCCGCACGGGCCGACGGGTTCCAAAGAGCAGTTTTGGAAGGAATTTTGAGGGATTTGAGAGGGAAATTTGAATATGTTTAGGGATTTTCTTTTGATTTGTATGCATTAAATAGTTTGTTTTCTTAGGATTAGGACATCTTGAATTTGGTTGAAATTTGAGATCTCCTAGATTTAGGTTTTTCTTTGGGCTCTAGCGGCGTCTAGAATTTTGGGAGAGATCGATCCTCCTCTCGAATAGAGGATCAATTGTATCTTGCTAGTTTCCGTTTCCCTTTCATCAAATAATACAAATTATCTACTGTTTTTGTGATTTTGTGCGGAGTTTTGTGGAGAATTCTCATTATTTTCATAAGATTGATAGGAAATACTTGAGATCTACAAGTGTTTCCTATCAGAATCCAAGTTAAAAATCTCAGTTTATCCAGAAGCCTGGTTATGAGGCACACTTCACTTTAAAGTAGTTTGATAAGCCAATTACAATAGCTTTATATGTACTAGGACGCTTTACTATCTATATCATCTAATAACTAACAAGGAAGTTAACATACCTTCACATTTGTATGCCCAGAGAATGTCAGATTAGGATTGTCAAGCACCCTCGATGCGCCCATCGACAACTCCCAGAGCTTTATCGTGTTATCCGTCGAAGAAGATATGAGATTTGATGAATCCAAGAACTTCACATAGCTCACAGTCTTACTATGGCCAACAAACTTGCAAAGAGGTATCCTTATATTACGCAGATCATAGCAGTACACATTATGATCTGCTGAACCAACAGCAATTATTCTGCCAGATTCAGGTGAAAATTGAACCGAACATACATTTGCCTTTGTTCTAATAGTGCCAGTGCTTCCTCCCTGTATAGTGAATCACAACAAAAATACTCACATTAAAGGATTAAGTGGCCAGGCCATATTAATGGTGTGATAAATACAGTTTAAAGCTGACATACACAAAGTAGAAGAGTAAAATTGCCTGATTAATATTCCAGAGCTTCACAGTTCCATCATCGCTTCCAGTAGCCAACATTGTGGGATCTGTTAACGAGTAGTCAACAGACCACACACGTTTCTCATGCTCCCTCATTTCAACAAGGACTTGGCTTCTAGGGACATCCCATATCTATGAAGGTCCAAAACTAGTATTATACAGTAATTGTAGCAGAAAAAAGCAAGAGAGCAAAGCAACCTATGTTGCACCGATACACTTATTTATGAAGGCGTGTTGTAACTGATACACGGATACGCCCCCGTTACGGCACCGATACGTGTTGGATACGGCTTTGTTGTATCCAAATAAAATACTATTTATTTTCAAAAGGACACGGGCTGTTGAGAAAACAAAAAAAAAAAATCCAGAAAAAAGACGCGTCGTATTTACTTCCACGTATGCGAGCAAGGTTCTCTCATTTCCGATATGGATTTGAGTCTCTTAATGATATAGGAATATTAGAAATTGCTAATCTTTCACTTGATGAGCCTGAATTAGAAGCTATGATATTTATTGAAGATGATATAGAAGTTCTTTTATTTTGATATTATAAGCTGCAAGGCTACAAATGATGTTGCTTTCATTTTCTTAGTAATTTCAAATATTATGCTTTGATTGTTTTCTTAATTTTTATATATGATTTATAAATTATAATGTCGTGTCCAAGCCATAATCGTATCCTGTATTTTTAAGAATTGACGTGTCCCGTATCCGTATCGTGTCATATCTGTGTCGCTGTATCCGTATCGGTGCAACATAGAAAGCAACATAACCGCTCACCTGCACCACCCCTTCAAAGTCACTAGAAGCTATCTGACTCTTGATATAACTGTTCCAGCAAACATTGCTGAGTTTTGACCTGCATGCCATCTCAACCAAAGGATAATGAATATCCCTGTCATCATTTATAATTGCATCGTATTCGAAAACTTTGATCTTCTTATTTACGCCAGCAGTAGCGAAAAAATTCTTGTCTCGATCGAAAGCAAGGGAGCAAATTAAATTAGATGAGTTTAGCAGGTCTCCTTGTTTAAGTTCAGCACAAACTCTAAATTTACTGAAGGTTAAGTATTTACGCAAGCCGTCGAGGAAGGGATTAATCCATTCACCCATTCTACTTCCACTTTGGGATTCCTTGGAAACCAAGTCATCAACAGAACTCCCCTGAGTTTTGTCAGTTGATCCTCTGCTAGTATTAGTGACTAGTAACTTTTTGCTTGCAAGTTTGCATGCCGGCTTTACGTGCTTACATCTAGATGAAAAATAAGCTGCCTCCAACTTTCTGAAGTTATCCATGATTCGAGAACTCTTTGAAAACACATTGCCTTGACTCTCATGGTTGGCCTCTACACAATCCTTACATTCTGGTTTACTTCGCTTCCTCGATCCCGAGGAATCGGAATCATCATCTATTTCATAAGAGGGTAATGGACTCTTTATTTTATCAATGGAAGAGTGATCGCCTTTCTCCACTCCAAGAAAGCCACTTTCCTTCATAAGCATTGACCTCTGAGTTCGAACTACTTCTATATCACCAGAAAGAAAGGAAACATTGTGATGAAACATATTAGCAGCTTCTTGCTTTGTTCTTTGCAGGTTCAAAAGAAATTCAAGGAGTAACTCCTGCTCTTCAATCTCCTCCTTCAACTTGATGGCCACTTCACGCTCTTCCAAACTATCCCTTTTTTCATTCAGGAACTCACTTTGTAAAACCTCACTGCAATGCATTATAAAATAAGTCCCAATCATAAAAATAAAAAAGTATAATTTAAAAAAAGAAAATTTTGAACTTATTCATGTATAAAATGAGGTGAATTTCTAGCATAACAAAAAGTTCACATCTTGTAGACATGGGGAAACAATTGGTTCCTCATGTATTAGGAAAGAAAGCAGCTTACAATATGAAACAGAAAGAGATGCTACTTTAAAGTTTCAATATATAGAAATTATGGAAGTTTTTAAATTTATCCATTTCTTCAAACTACCCCCTCCACTACTTGAGATTCCATAGCCATCAAGTTCTACAATCCCAAGTTAGCCAATCCAATAATAAAAGGCTATTAAAGATGCAGTTCAAGACGCTAATTTTAACAAATATAAGTCACTAACTTTGAGGTCTGAAATTATTGAACTTTACAATTACAGTTTGACTTGATGATAACTCAACTGAAATGAAGAAAGTACTGAAAACATTTAGAGCTACGACCAAAATAGGAGGTATAGAGAATGGTAAATTATATCTCAAAAACAAGTAAATATTTTGTTTTTTAAAAAAGCAGAAACAACCAGAAAATCACAATCCAATAAACAAGCGATTTACATGGTTTGGCGAAGATGCCTACGTTCACAGGGAGGGAATGATTTTACTATATTTGAGAAAGTATGATTACAATTGGCTCTCTCCTACTATCATACAACAACCCTCAAGTCCTATTTATAGATTTGAAATGAAAATAAAAAGAAAACATTAATTAATGAAAATATAATCATGCTAATTAGATCTCCCAATCAGTGCTAATTAAATTTCCCAAAATAATGCAATAATTAGCAAATAAATGTTTGTTACGGTTCAAGGTGACCAAACCGGCCCATGTGGGGTCAGTTTAGGTTTATAGGAGGCGGCCCAAATTCTTCTATTTTTCTCACTAATTTACCGATTATTGTTAGGTTTGCTTGCGAACTCAAGTATTCCCATTAGGGTTACTTGCAAACTCAAGTATTTCCTATCAATGTTTTCCAAATCAATGCTGATTCAAATTTGGAAGGATTTACATAACAATCTCCATTTCATCTTTTACTTCAGAAAGTGAAAGATGACAAACAAACTCCAACATCAAAACGATTACACCAAGACGGTTGCCTACGTATCCTCCCTCCCAAGGGATCAAGCCAAACAGAGTTCTTAAAAAAAGAGGACAATCAGTCATGAGCTCGAATGTTCACCAAACTCCTACAGAGAAGGACTTCTGAACTGGCAACACCGTTGTGAGCATGTCTGCTGGATTCTACTTAATATCTATTTTCTTCAACTAAACATTGCCTTCAGCAATCAATCCCTGAACAAAATGGCACCTTACAATGTGCTTGGTATGAGCATGATAAACTGGATTTGTGGCCAAGAATATTTCACTCTATCTGTCACATAATACCGTTAGAGACTTTTGATCAACTCCCAAATCATCCAGTAGGCTGTGCATCCATATTGCTTTCTTCATCACCTCCGTGATTGTCATGTACTCAGCCTCAATAATAAACAAAGCAATAGTAGATTGAAGAACTAATCTCCAACTGACTGATCCTCCTTCTAGTGTGAATAAATAACCCGTCCTAGACCTATGCCTATTAATATCACCAGTGTAATCTGAGTCACTATTGCTTACACACAAAGCAACAACAAATGATTGCATCTTAAACACCAAGCCTACATCAACTGTACCCTTTAGATACCTCAGGATACTCTTCACAGTTTGCCAATGACTTCTTCCCGGATCATGCATAATCCTGCTCAAAACACCATATGCTTATGCGATGTCTAGTCTAGTATAAACCATGATATACAACAGACTGTCAACTGCACTAGCATAAGGAACCGACTGCATATCTTTCCTCTCATGATCATTCTTAGGACACTGATTTAAACTCAACTGGAAATGAGATGCAATAGATAGACTCATAGCCTTGCTTGAGTCATCAACCCCAAACCTTTTCAGCACCTTGCGAACATAAGCTCCTTGTGAAAGAAAAAACATTTCCTATTTCCTTATCCCTAAGAATCTCCATGCCAAGAATTTTGCGAGCTTCACCCAACTCCTTCACCTCAAAATGTTTGGACAGTTGCTTCTTCATCCTGTTGATCTCAGGTTGGTTGGAAGATGCAATCAACATATCATCAACAAATAGAAGAAAGTACATGCACTCATAATTGACCAATTTCTTAAAATATGTAAAATGATTGTAGTGGCTCCTTGTGCACTCCTCTCCCATCATGAACTAATCAAACTTTTTACACCACTGTCGTAGTAACTGCTTCAACTAATATAAAGAATTATTAAATATGCAAATTAAGTCTTTTGAGGCTCCATATCTAAACAGTTGTAACATATATATATATATATATATATCTTCTTGCAATTCCCTGTGTAAGAAATAATTTTCACATCGAGCTGCTCTGAAATCAGATCATAGTGTATTACAAGTGCTAAGAGAACCGAGACTAAGGGATGCTTGACCACTGTGGAGAACATCTCATCATAATCAATCCATTCCCATTGCGCAAAGCCTTTTGCCATCAACCTAGTCTTGTACAATGCATCAGCTCCATAATATACTTCCTTATTCACGTACACCCATTTGCACCCAATGGTTTTCCTTGCCATAGAAAGCTTCGCCAACCTTCAAGCAACATTCTTCTGAAGAGACTTTATCTCTTCATCAACAACCTTTTTCCAAGAATCACCATCTTGACTGTCCACTGCTACCATATAATGACTAGGACTTTCATCCTCATAGCTGAAAATGCAAAAGCAATGTGGACCCTTAACAAAGCTAATTTTGGGACATTCTGATGCCTAGTCCTATTCTTAGCAATCAATTCTTGGGCAGGAACCCCATCCTCAACATCATCTTCTACCCCTCTTTGATCACTCTCACGATGTACCTCATGATCTGGAACTGAATTAGGGACCTAGGTAGACATGATCTATCTTTGTGGAGCAAATGGAGTTGCATCAAATTCCAACTTTTGTAGTAAATTTGTAGCCCTGATAGAACTCTCCACCTACTTTGAGTCCCGAGGCTTTAAAAAGCTCACCTCGTTGAATGTAACATCCCTATTAATCTGTTAATGATAATATTCTTCTCTTCCTGATCATAGAGTTTGAAGCCCTTAACTCCATGCTTGAAGCTAATAAATATTAGCTTCTTTGCTCGTGATTTCAATTTATCATTCTGAATATGATAATAAGCTGAACACCTAAACACTCTTAAGTGCTCATAATCTATAGTAGGATGCATCGACTACATCTCCTTTGAGATCTTCTTTCCAATAGCAGCAGAAGGAAAACGGTTTACCAAGTGACAGGCATATTCTATAATCTCAACCTAATCGACTCTATCCAACTCAGCATTTGATGACATACACCGAATTTTCTCTACCAAAGTTTGTCTCATCCTCTCTGCCACCCCGTTATGCTGTGGTGTCTCTCTAATAGTGAAGTGGTGCCCTATCTCAGATATCTGACACTTTTGCAATAATGCATCTAATGTATATTCACCTTTGTTGCCTGATGTGATCTACTGGATCCTTTTAGCAGTCTGAGTCTCAATTCACTTCTTCTAAGTTTTAAAAATCCTCAATATCTCGCTCTTGTGCTTTATGTTGTACACCCAAACATATCTGGAGTAATCATTAATAAAAAAGACAAAATATTTCCGCTCGCTGAATGATGTTGCTTCGTCGGGCCCCAAATATCTGCATGAACATGCTCAAGAATACCCTTTGTATTATTGATAGTAGTACCAAAGGATACCTGTATTTTCTTGCTAAACACACAATGTTTATAGAAATAGAGCTTGCAGGTGCTTGCTCCTTTGATCAATCCTTTCTTCACCAAAGTCATAAGTGAAGCCTCTCCAGCATGAGCAAGCCTTATATGCCACAATATAGTGGCATTAGAAGAATCATCAGCAACAACAGCCGTTTCAATCACTGTTCTACCCTGAAGAAAGTTAAGGTTATGATGACAAGCTCCTTTCAGAAAAACCAGCACTTCATGGAATATTTTAAGAACTTCTACCTCAATAACTATCTTGTGGCCCTTGGACTCTCTAAGGCCCCAAGAGACAACATATTCTTCATGATATCTAGAATATGTCTAAAATCTGCTAGCTCTCTTACAGTACCATCACACATTCAAATGAAGATGCTCCCTACACTAATCATCTACAAATCAAAGTTTGACGCTAGCAATTTCTACCACCACAATCATGCCTTTGCGTCTTCTTGACATCTCATCTTTGACCAAAATATCTCAACATAGACTACCAACGCTATCTCGACATCGACGCTCGATGTCTGACTCTTGATAACATCATCGTCTCCCCTCTCGACGCTTGTAACACAACATAAACGCTCAACTCTCGACATCCTAATATTAATCATTTTAAGCACAAATCCTATTTAAATTAAATTTCTCAATTATTCTTAATATTCTGCTTGATCAATTTCTATACACTTGTTGCAGATTAGAATATACGCGGCGATAGAGATTAAAAAGTTTTCATCTCAACGTTGTACGAATATTCAGTACACAAACAGAAGATGAAAGAACACTAGGATTTGTACGTGGAAAACCCTAAAAAGGAAAAAAACTATGGGGTCACGCCCAGTTTAAAGAATTCCACTAGTATTTATTTGAGATACAAGAGGCTATCTCGTCCTTAAAATTTATGCGATTAGATTACAATGATTCACTTTCAGATTGAAATCCAATTACAAACAAGTTGTGTATTCGAGATGAATTCAAAACCAGTTGAATATTAGATAGAATTTCGGTGTCACTTGGAGATCGGACAGAGTTCCGAGGTCATTGGAAAGTCGGACGGAATTTCAGCATCACTGTGGAAGTCGGACAGAATTCCGGCGTCCCGCGGAAGTCAGACAGAATTCCGATGTCCAGTGGAAGTCAAGCAAAATTCCGGCGGTGGTCAAAGAGGAGTTTCTTCAGTCCTATCCTTCTCCTATTCTCTTCTTTTTCTCTTCTTTCTTAGGTCCCCTCTCAAGAGAAATGAGAGGCTATTTATAGTTTTTAAAGGATGGCATAACCCGTAAATAGGAGGAGGATCAAGGGCATATGTGGAGTGGTTCGGATGGATGGCCGATATTGAATCCCTTGATCGTGAACCATTTGTCAGACATTTGAAGGTCTTAACGATATCGGAATTCGGCGATCTTGGGCTCGTTGGATTCGTCTCGTCGAGCCGCTCGATTCAACATAATGATTCACTTCCGGATTGAAATCCAGTTACAAAAAAGTTGTGTATTCGAGATGAATTCAAGATAACTTGAAGATTAGACAGAATTCTAGCGTCACTAGGAGATCGGGTAGAGTTTCGGCATCACTGGAAAGTCGGGCATAATTCCAACATCACTGTGGAAGTCGGACAGAATTTCGGCATCTCGTAGAAGTCGAACAGAATTCTGGCGTCACTATGGAAGTCGGACAAAATTCCGACGTCCCGCAGAAGTCGGATAGAATTCCGAAATCCCGTGTAAGTCGGGCAGAATTCCAGCGGTGGAAGAGGAGTTTCTTCATTCCTATCATTCTCCTCTTCTCTTCTTTTTCTCTTCTTTCTTAGGCCCCCTCTCAAGAGAAATGAGGGGCTATTTATAGTTTTTTGAGAATGACATGACCCATAAATAGGAGGAGGATCATGGGCATAGGTAGAGTGGTTCGGATGGACGGCCGATATTGAATCCCTTAATCGTGAACCGTTTGTCAGACATTTGAAGGTCTTAACGATATCAGAATTCGGCGAACTTGGGCTCATTGGATTCGTCTCGTCGAGCTGCTCAATTCAACTATAAGCATGTCATGTTTGGAAACCGTTTGGTAATCCAGATTGTGGTTTGAACTTTCCAACATCGATTTAGGTTTTCGATTCGAACTTATTTGGGCTCAGATTGAGTTGAATTTGGTGTCGTTGGGTTCGAATTTCCGAGACGTTCAGTTTGACTATAAGTTTGCTGAAATCGGAGTTCAGGTGATCCCGAATTTAATTTTTGAAGTTTCTAGTTTGATTTTGCCTCGAGATTCGTGCCCGATCAAGATAATTTTTTGATGATATATCAACACTATTTTTATGATATAAAAAATTATAATATTGTAGCCAAGCATTGTTTGTCCTGTATTTTCTAAAATTGATGTATTTCATGTCCGTGTCTATGCATCATAGTTAGTAAGTGTCTATTTTCTTCTTCGGGCTTGAATCTAGAATGTTTATAGTTTATATTCACTATCATTTTTTTTCTTGTGAATTTTTAAATTTTGTTAATTTATTATTTGGAATAAACTAAGTGAGTTTGTTGATCTTACATCAAAAGTGTCTAATCTTTGCTGACATTAAAAGTTCATAATTGTGAATTGAAGCTTTTTGTTATATTTGTGTCTTATCCTAGGCTTGCATTAGCCTAGAACGTCATGCATCAAAACACTAAGATCATATCTAAATACTAGGAATATATTAAATAAAAGGATGAGGATAAAGAAGATGACAATGTTAGTGCAGTCAAAACTAGGCAGTTAAAAGGGAGAGTTGTTATAACTACCACTAAACTACAAGCCATAATAAAAACTTGAAGGAAAATTTTGAGAAAGGCAAACCAACTGGTTTTGCAAACTTTATGCATAGGGTGACAAATATATATATCATAAATAATCATATGGTCGTGAGCTTACGATGCAATCTCTAGGGAACAAAACTGGCCTTAGGCCTAAAACGATAGCTAAAATATATGAAAAAGAGAAAGAAATCATTACCCCAACACCTATCACTTTTTATGAGAGATCTAAAACATATATACAAGGGCAAGAAACCATAAGAACTGCAATACCTTTCACTTTTTCTTGATTAAAGGCATAAGGAAAAGAAATATATGTTATAACCATTGAAACTTACAGGTTTGCTTCATCATACATGCAAATAATAGAGATCAAAAGATGCATCAATAAGATATCAAGATGGAATCATTGTGAAAGTATATAAAGTAGCATTACTAGAACTTGTGAGAGTAGAAGCACTTATAAGGTCGACCTCAATCAATAATGTAAAATTTGACTCAATGTTATTCTCAAAGATGTAATAAAATACTCTAAATCATCACATAAAGCTTGAGCTAAATCAAATAAAAAACAGTAGCAAGAACTGATACAGTTCAAAAATCAACCTCATTTTAGGCCGATTACTTGGCTCGGGGTGCAACAGCCATAGGCAAAATGATGCCACATTTGGCCACTTAAGCAGCATCTGTGGTGGAAGCACACGATGTCTCAAGTTGGACATTATACCAAGCTTCTCTTCCATAGTTTCAAACATGCAAAACAACTGACAACAAAAAACCAAACATCATATTTATAGCAACAAATGCAAAATAACAGCCATAAGTTCAAGAAGCCAAAACACAACAGAAAATATTAACCTCAAATAGTAGAACACCTAATTTGTATACATCTGAGGCGAATACACTTTGTCTTTCCTGAGTTTCTTCAGGGCTTTTATACCAATTAAACTCCATACTTAATAACTTCTTAAGAGGAAAGTATCTCCTCTCCCCAACTGCACTCAACTCACTTAATTCTCCCTTTCTCTTCATCTCCTCCACCAAAGACAATTGAGTGGCATGTGCAGAACTCTCGAAAGCACCAGCAGAGATACCCTCGCCGGGTGTAAGGGTTTTCGCGGCACCGCAACTACTGCCTTCTTCTTCTCCATAGGAAGAGTCGGAGTCCGAGCCCGAGCAAGAAGCAGATTCAATGAATGAGACAGAGTTGAAGGTTGACATCACAAAGCAAGAAGGCCTAATGTTATTAACTACTACTCCTTGATGGTGTGCACGGTTAACCGTCTCTACAACCTGCCGGAAAATGTGTAGGCACTCCATAAAGTCTACCGACCGACCGTGCTTGTCCAACCACTCCCTAAGGCTGACTTCCCCTTGGCTTCGACCGCCGCTGCCACCAGTAGTCTTCAGCCAGGTAGTATCAAAACTTCTTTTACCATCTCCTGCTACCTCCTCCTCCTTAGAACTGCTGCCGGCAATCAAACCGAAGCCACGTCTGGAGGCGGCAACATGGCCTCCTGCTTTCAAGTGTCTCGAGGTGGATGATCTCTCCAAGCCCGACTCCTCTTTGGAACCTTCCATTCGGCCTCTATCCCATCGCAAGAAATAAACACTTATTAAGCCCCAAGCTCACGCCTTTCATGCAACAGAAGCGAAAATCAATAGCCTCAACACCCATTAACTGGAAACTTAACTCCGGGTCAAGTCTGCACGAATTTGAATCGCCCGAGCAAAGAAAAAAGGCTCACCTTGATCGGCAAGATCCCACCTTTCAAGCACGAAAAGCAAAACTAACAGCTTTCTATTGATCAAACCATATGCAGAGAACTCCCATCTCCACGATGAAACTGCAAACAAAATAGAAATAGAATGCCAACATCAAAAAGTGCGCAGAGAAGCAAAGATGATGAATGTAAAAAAAGAAACCTGAGGAAAGCACCCACAAGTGAGTTCTCCAACAAGCCCGAATACTCAAAAAACCTTTTTTTTTCTCCCTCCGGAGCTTCTCAACCTCACAAGTCCTCAGCCCACTCTTCACTTTTACTCTCTATCGGCCCCCACCAATCTCTTTTTCTTTTTCCGCCAGCACAGAAGAAGAGGCCGAGCTGCTTACTTCGGCTAAACCCTTCGCAGAGATGTTTTTCTGTGCGATAAGAAGAGGAGGAGAAGCCGCTTCCTTTCGTCCGTTATCCTGTTTCAAGTCCTTCCACTTACGTGGCGCTTCCATGGCCGCAAGCTGGCTCAGGCATGCAAGCCTTTATAGTTTGTGGCCCTCGTTTCTACACAAGGAAACGCACACTGTCCTTTCTATTATTATTTATGATTTCTATTAGAGCAGCTGATTTGTAATTAAACATGTTATTAAAATTGTAATATATATTCACTTAGTTAGCTTTTCCCTTGTCCAATCCAGGTATTACACGTGTACTTACTAATGTCTTTATCAGGCTATTTATACATGACTCTGTACAGGAAAATGATTTGAATAATACAAAATATTATCTCCTCAAGATCGTCTTCTTCCTTTCCTCTCTTCAGCACATTCGCACGACCAGGGACGGAACCAGCTTCAATTTTGAGGGGGGCAAATACTGTATAAAAATAATTAAATATTAAAAAAATAAAATTATACATCTATATATTACGAAAACTTTTTTTAAAAAAATTAAACAAGAAAAATAGAAAAAAAAATGTAATTAAACTATCATGAAAAGCATGAAAGATAATATTATAGCTAAATGTGCATAATTATATAGATATTTTAGGTCGAAGTTAGGACAAAAAAATTTTTTAGGGGGGGCAAAAGTAATTTTTTAGGAGGGGCAAAATTTTTTTTTTACTCTCCTATATATAAATTTTTTTTTTACTCCTATAAAAAATAAATTTTTTTTTTTTTTGAGGGGGGCAATTGCCCCCCCTAAGCCTTATATGGTTCCGCCCATGCACACGGTCTTCTCTCAGGCGTGTGTTTCTACATGGTATCAGGCCTTCTTTTTCCTCCCAACTACTCATGGCCACTTCGCTTTCCACATCGTCTTCTACCGTTGCTGATCATCCCTCCAGTATTCCGGCAGAAACCTCTCAAATCTCACCATCCCTCAAATTCGTGGTTTCCAATCTCAAGACTCTTGTCCCCACCCAACTTTCTCCGGACAACTACCCTATTTGGCGCCATCAGATCTTCAAACTCCTCAAAGCAAATGATTTCGACCAATTCTTGGCCCCGCCGAAGCACTCCGCAGACCCGTCCGACAACTCCGACCCAATCATTCACAAGAACTGGCATATTACATATCAAAACCTGCAGGCAGCCATCTGCTCCACGATTTCTCCAACCGTGCTTCCTTATATTCTCCATCTTGACACCACCCACGAGATCTGGCAGGTTCTTGAAAACCAGTTCCAGGCCACCAGTCGTTCCAAGGTGATTCAGCTCAAAAATGAGCTTCATCACATCTCCATGAAGAATCAATCCATGATTCAATACCTGACCGAAATAAAGAAGCTCGTGGACCAAATCGCTTCGGCTGGTTCAAACATCGACTCTGAAGATATAATCCTTCATATCTTGAATGGACTTCCGCCGGCGTACCAGTCATTCAAAACATATATACGCAATTCGTCTACCCCGATTCGCCTGGAAAATCTCTACGCTATGCTCATAAGCGAAGAAATTCACATTACTATCGATGCCGCACGCAGCTCTGTCGATCTTTTTCAGCAAGCTGCTCTGTATACAAATAGGGGACACGGTCGTCGTAATCGGGGGCGTGCATCTTCGTCCCAACCATCAAACGGACGTTATGGAACCCCATCACAACCGCTGCCCACCTGCCAGATTTGTGCCAAGAAAGGTCACACGGCCGACGTCTGCTGGCATCGCATGAACGCGAACTACACGCCTCAACCACCTGTAACCAAGCCACCGAACGCTCTTGTGGCTACCTCGGATGCGCAATCCTACGATTGGTACCTCGACTCCGGGGCTTCTTCACACATGACCAATGCCGCTGATAATTTGCATCAATCAACTCCATACTCCGGCTCCGACGGCGTCTTCATCGGGGACGGAAGAAATCTCCCCATTGCTCACTCGGGCACGGGCATTCTTCCGACCCCGAATCGTAAGCTTCAATTATCCAATCTACTTCACGTTCCCGCTCTCTCGCATAATCTCCTTTCCATTTCTAATCTAGTTAAAGACAATAACATTTCCATTACATTTGACCCCATGGGCTTTGTGTTGAAGGATCTGACGACAAATCAGCCGCTTCTTCGCGGACCCTGTAGTGTCGGACTATATCGTATCTCTCAGACGAACACACCAAAGGCTTCGCCATCTGCGTTCCAGACGTCCAAGATTCGGTTAACTCCATGGCACGATCGCCTCGGCCATCCCAACTTCCGTGTCTTGCGTCAAATTGCTCTAAATAATCCTGCCTTAAAGATCTCACATTCTTTTAATACTTGTAATACATGTATTCAATGCAAGTGTCACAAACTACCATTTGAATTGTCTATGTCTAGAACTAAAATTCCTCTTGCTCTGGTGCATTCAGACGTTTGGGGACCGGCTCCGGTCACTTCTACTCAAGGGATGCGTTATTTTCTTATCTTTGTTGACGATTACTCACGATACACTTGGATCTTTACTATTGCAAATAAATCTGCTGTAACAAATGTGTTTATTCATTTTACCAAATTTATAGAAAATCAAACAAACAGACGCATTCAAGCACTTCGGACAGACGGTGGCTCCGAGTTCGTAAATTAGCAGATGCAAGATTTCACTCGATCCAAAGGCATTTACCACCAAGTCTCGTGTCCCTATACCCCCGAGCAGAACGGGGTGACTGAACGCAAGAATCGGCATATAACGGAGACAGCTCGATCACTGCTCCATAAAGCCTCGGTTCCACACTCATTCTGGCCGGATGCGTGCTCCACTGCGGTTTACCTTATTAATAGAATGCCATCTCCGATCACTCAGAATCGATCCCCACTGCAGCTTATGTTCAACATCACCCCTGAGTACAAACATCTTCGTACCTTTGGATGTGAATGCTTCCCCCTGCTTCCCAAACACGCTCGAACCAAACTTCAACCCAAGTCACGATCCTTTATCTTCATGGGATACTCAGATATTCACAAAGGCTATAAATGCCTCGACAAAGAATCCAACTTCATTTTTATCTCTCGCCACGTTACATTTCTTGAACACTAGTTTCCCTTTAACACAAGCAATTTTTCCTCGCAGGAACAACCTGATGGCATTCCCTCTTCTCTATTATTACCCACATCTAAAGCATCTGAAATTCATCCCGTATCCAGTCAGCAACTCCATTCTACCACTGACTCGGCTCAACCTACAACTACAAAAACACCGTCCATCAGCAATTCCGACAGCTCTCCAATCCCAGATCAATATCCACACATTCCTTCATCAACTAACAAACACCATATGATCACTAGGCTTCAGACTGGGTCGCTAAAACCATCCCGACGACTCAACTTACTATCCACTACGTCCAAACCAAGAGATCCCGATCCCACTTGCTTTACGGATGCTAACAAATTCATTGAATGGCGTCAAGCCATGGCAGAGGAGTTCATTGCTCTTCAACAGCAGGATACATGGACACTCGTACCACCTCCATCATCCGCTCAAATTCTGGGATGTAAGTGGACGTTTCGAAAGAAATTCAATTCGGATGGATCGATCGTCAGATTTAAAGCACGTCTTGTAGCCCAGGGAAATCAGCAAGAGCACGGAATAGACTATGAAGAAACATTTAGCTCGGTGGCTAAGTTACCGACTATACGCGTTCTATTCACAGTGGCTCTCTCCCATGGCTGGCACGTGCAGCAACTCAACGTTACGAATGCATTCCTTCACGGCCAACTCAACGACACCGTATACATGACACAGCCACGAGGCTTCGTCGAAGACAACTATCCGACGTTCGTTTGTCGCCTGAATAAAGCGATTTACGGTCTTCGGCAAGCGCCACGCCAATGGTATACTACATTTACACAATACCTTATTACGCTCGGTTTCGAATATAGCAAAGCTGACCCTTCTCTTCTCACGTTTCGTCAAAACCAAACACATATCTTTCTCCTGGTTTACGTCGACGACATCCTCGTCACCGGCAACAATGACACGGCAATTTCATCAATAAAGGCAAAATTACATGCCAAATTCAACATGAAGAACTTAGGTGCCGCGCATCACTTTCTCGGTCTCAAGATCCAGAAATTACAATATGCGTATTTCTTATCTCAATCTACCTACGCTCTTTCTATTCTCCAATCCGTTCAGCTCGGTAATTGCAACCCGCTATCTAATCCTTCTTGTACAAAAATCCAGGAACAAGTTCAGGAAGACGTTCTGCTATCGGCCCCAAGCACATACAGACGGATTGTCGGATCGCTTCAGTACCTAACCTTAACCCGTCCGGACATCGCCTATGCCGTCAATGTGCTGTCTCAACATATGCAAGACCCCTCCTCGCAACATGTCTACCTCCTTAAACGTCTGCTTCGCTATCTTAAAGGCACCTTGACCTTCGGCCTTCCCATTCTCAAAGCTCCGCTGATTCTGTCCACTTACTCTGATGCCGACTGGGCCGGCGATCCAACAACAAGAAAATCTACCACCGGCCATTGTACCTTCCTTGGCAACACACTGGTATCGTGGGCAGTTAAGAAGCAGACAACGGTCGCTCGGTCTTCAACTGAATCCGAATATCGGGCGTTAGCAGCTGCGACCGCGGACACAATATGGCTAAAAAGATTACTCAATGATTTCGGCATTCAGCACAGCCAACACATTGATCTCTACTGCGACAATATGTCGGCCATCGCTCTCGCTCGTAACCCCGTCTACCACGCTAGAACTAAGCACATAGAGATCGATCACAGGTTTGTCCGTGACCACATTCAAAACAAAGTGATCCGCCTTCTCCCGATCAGCACAACGCACCAACTTGCCGATCTTCTCACAAAGCCGCTGTCTACTCCTAGGTTCAGGGAACTGCGATCCAAACTGACTGTTCGCGAGGAACAATCCGTTTGACAGGGGATATTAGAGCAGCTGATTTGTAATTAAACATGTTATTAAGATTGTAATATATATTCACTTAGTTAGCT